CCCCCCTCCTCCCCACGACACCGACGCCAGCGCTCCCGCCGAGAAGCGGCAGAAAACAACCCGACCGAAACCGCACCAAAATCCTCGACGCGCTCGATCGGGGCGGGGTGGACGCGAGGGCTGCAACGGTTCTAGCCCTTTTGTGAGGACGGGGAGTCCTGGGTGGAGTGCGCTGTCGTGGCGGAGGACCGGGTGTGGCGGGCGAGCAGAATGGAGGACATTCAAGTAGGTGCGGACGAGGACGCGAAGGCCGAGAGTGCGGTTAACAACGCCCAGGGTCGCCATGAGCCCCAGGGACCCGTGCTGCCCCCTGACGGCGTGGACCTCAAGCTGTCTGTGGCGATGGAGGCGTTCCGCGGGGAGCGCGGTGCGGGGGGGTCGTCCCCGGACAACCCCGATCAGCTGGAGAAGCTGGACAAGGGGCGTAAGCGGCGCAAGCACCAGCACCGTCAGCGGCACGTCAGGAACAACAAGAAGGGGTGGCTGTGGAGGCGCGAGCTGGCGGAGGCGACTGCCGGGGCGGGCGCGCAGGCGGGCGGGGGGAGTCCCACCCGCACCGCAGGGCTGCCCACCGCGCTGCCCGCCCCCAACAACACCACCCAGTTCATCATGGAAGACCACACGGACCTGCAGGACCTGGACCTGGAGGCGCAGCGGGGCGCCAGGACCACCAGGTCCAGGGACCCCAGCTTCAGCATTGACTCAGAGGATGAGTCCTCTTCCTACGAGGAAGAGCTGTACCTGTCCAAAGAGTTCTCCAACACATATGAGGATGTCCACGTAGAACGGTTGGGTACCATGACCAAGCTAGATCTCATACAAGAGTATTTGCAGCTCGAACAACGAGTTAATGTGCTAGAGAAAAAACTGACAGGCCAGAATACAAGTTCAACAACAGCGGACATGAGTGGTAATGGTGTGACAGGAACTGATTCAGACAGTGAGATAGCTGAAGGGGAAGTGCCAGTGGAGCCGGCCATGGTAGAAAAAATAAGAATTTTTCAAGAAGAGATACAAAAACTTGTTGTTGAAAATGAACTTTTGGTTCAAGAAAACCAAAGGCTACAGTCATCCAGTAGTCTTGTAAGACCTTCATCGTCGTCTCTCTCATCCTCCATTGACTCAGAAAGTGATAGTTCAACAACATCTGGTAGTTCGTCGTCATCAAGTAGCTCAGGAAAAAGCAAAGCCAGTAAAGGAAGCAGGTGTAGCAAGGCCAGTAGATCAAGCAGCTTGAAGAGCCGTGAAAATGTAATACCTCAAACAGTTGGTCCTGAGAATGATATATTAGATGTTGAAATGACTGCTGAGGATCAGTCAAACACATTGACCCCTCTTTCACAGCAAGATCAAGAAATGGAAACAGAATCACCTGGAGAGGCTCTTAAAGAGCCCTCGAATCAAGAGAGTTCTCCTGCTTTTGTCTAAAATTGCTTCTTAGATCGCCATATAATTGGCATTTCTTGACACATTAGTGATCTTTCTTTATTTTGAGCAGAGTGGGTCTCATAATTGTAAATTTTCATAGATGGCCAAAACATTGTAATTTTTTTTATTTTTTTTTAAGCCAATGGCTGTGAATTGCTGAGCCTTCTTCTGCACTTCTGTGTACGGACTTTCTCTGTTCAACACAACACTAGTATACTTTTTATAAGGTAAAAATCTGTTATTTATCTGTAACTTTTCATATT